TAACACTTGATTCTGGTCTGCATTATACATATATACATATGATTGAATCAAATATGGTAGTCGAAGGAAAACATTGTGATCCTGGGACATTCAGTTTATGGCATGATAGGTTAGGCCACCCAGGATTAACAATGATGCGAAGGATAATTGAGAATACACATGGGCATCCATTGAAGGACCAAAAGCTCCCTCAATCCAACAGCATAAAACCATGTGCATCTTGTTCCCTTGGAAAGTTAATTATAAAACATTCTCCAATGAAAGTTGAAAGGGAGTTACCTAGATTTCTAGAAAGAATTCAAGGTGATATATGTGGACCGATTCACCCACCATCTGGACCATTTAGATACTTTATGGTCTTAATAGATGCATCCAGCAAATGGTCTCATGTTTGCCTATTATCAACTCGTAATATGGCATTTGCAAAGTTTCTTGCCCAAATTATTAAATTAAGAGCACATTTCCCTGATTATACTATCAAAAGAGTGAGACTTGATAATGCTGGTGAATTTACTTCACAAGCATTTAATGACTATTGGATGTCTGTAGGAATTGTTGTTGAGCATCCAGTTGCTCATGTACACACACAAAATGGTTTAGCTGAATCACTGATTAAACGTCTCCAGCTAATAGCTAGACCATTAATAATGAGGACCAAACTTCCTATTTCTGTTTGGGGCCATGCAATCTTACATGTTGGATCATTGATACGCATGAGACCAAGTTCATATCATGTATATTCTCCACTACAACTTGCTTTCGGTCAAGAGCCAAATATATCCCATTTGAGAATTTTTGGGTGTGCAGTATATGTCCCTATTGCACCACCTCAACGGACAAAAATGGGTCATCAAAGAAGGTTGGGAATATATGTTGGTTATGAGTCCGTATCTATTATAAGATATCTTGAACCATTAACAGGTGATGTTTTCACAACACGCCTAGCAGATTGTCAATTTGATGAGGCAAATTTCCCATCATTAGGTGGAGAAAAGAAGATTCCAGAAAAGGATGTGTCATGGCATGAGCCTTCTTTATCATATCTTGACCCTCTCACAAAGCAATGTGACATGGAAGTTCAAAAGATAATGCATTTCCAAGAAATGGCAAATCAATTACCTGATGCATTTACTGACACAAAAAGGGTGACTAAATCATATATACCAGCTGTCAATGTTCCAGCTTGAATTGACATTCCACATGGACAATCTGATGATAAAGTCACTCAAGAGTCTAAAACACGCCTGAATCGTGGAAGTCCATTTGGTTCTAAAGATAAGAACCCACGAAAAAGAAGAGGAGCAGAAAATGCACTAGATCACGAGGAAAGTGTTCCTAGAGAAACACGAATTATTCAAATTCCCCCAGGAAAGGAGGATGATGCACTAAATTATGGTCAGACAAATAGAATATGTGACCAAAATGAAACTGACAATATAGGTGCAATATTTTCTTATTCAGTTGCATGTGATATTATGAATGATGATCCCGAACCACAATCTATCATTGAATGTCAAAGAATAAATGATTGGGCTAAATGGAAGGAAGCTATGCAAGTTGAATTAAATTCTCTTAACAAGAGAAAGGTTTTTGGGAACATTATCCTCACACCTGAACTTGTGAAACCATTAGGATATAGATGGATCTTCGTACGAAAAAGAAATGAGAAAGACGAAATTATAAGATACAAGGCCAGGCTTGTTGCTCAAGGTTTCTCTCAAAGACCTGGAATTGATTATGAAGAAACTTATTCACCGGTAATGGATGCAACCACTTTCAGATATTTAATCAGCTTGGCAGTATCTAAAAATTTAGAGATGCGTCTTATGGATGTTGTTACAGCTTACTTGTATGGATCACTTGATAGTGATATCTATATGAAAATCCCTAAAGGATTTAAAATGCCTGAAGCATTAAGTGCAAAACCCAAAGAAATGTACTCTATAAAATTACGAAGATCTTTGTATGGGTTAAAACAATCTGGGCGCATGTGGTACAATCGTTTGAGCGATTATTTGACAAGTAAAGGTTATAAAAATAACACTATTTTTCCATGTGTATTTATTAAGAAAACAACATCTGGATATGTGATCATAACAGTCTATGTTGATGATCTAAACACCATTGGAACGAATAAAGAAATCCTTTAAGTGATTGAACTTTTAAAGAAAGAGTTTGAAATGAAAGATCTTGGAAAAACCAAATATTGTCTTGGTTTACAGATTGAGCATATGCCTAACGGAATACTTGTATATCAATCAAATTACACATAAAGAGTCTTGAGACGTTTCAACATGGACAATTCTAATCCTTTAAGCACTCCAATGGTTGTTAGATCATTAAATATTGACAAGGATCCATTTCGTCCATGCAAAGAAAATGAAGAAGTCCTTGGTCCAGAAGTACCATACCTTAATGCAATTGGAGCTCTTATGTATCTTACCAACTGTACTCGACCTGACATTTCTTTCGCTGTAAACTTGCTAGCAAGATTTAGTTCAGCCCCAACAAAAAGACATTAGAATGGAATCAAACATATTTTTTGATACCTTCGAGGAACTAGTGATTTAGGGTTATTTTATCCTAACAATTCAAAAGAAAGCTTGATTAGTTATGCAGATGCAGGTTATTTGTCTGATCCTCATAAAGCTAGATCTCAAACTGGATACATATTCATGAATGGAGGTACCGCAATTTCCTGACGTTCTCAAAAGCAAACACTTGTTACCACATCCTCAAATCATGCTGAAGTAATTGCACTAAATGAAGCTAGTAGAGAATGTACATGGTTGAGATCAATGGCACATCTAGTTTTAACTTCACGTGGACTTGAAAAAGATATAGGTCCAACTTTAATATACGAAGATAACTCAGCATGTGTTACTCAAATGAAAGAAGGATATATCAAGAGCGACAGGACAAAACATATACCTCCAAAGTTTTTCGAGTACACTCAAGAGCTTATAAAGAACCATCAAGTTGAAATCAAATATGTTCAATCCAGTAACAATGCATCAGACCTTTTTACGAAGACACTTCCTACTGCAATCTTCAGGAAACATGTCCATGGCATCGGAATGCGACATGTGCATAGAATATAATGTGACAGATGTCTAAATAAGGGGGAGTCAACTATACACTGCACTCTTTTTCCCTTCGCTAAAGTTTTTTCCCACTGGGTTTTCTTTAGCAAGGTTTTTAATGAGGCAGTACTTCAAGGTTGAACTCTAATTTGAAATGATGTCATCCAAGGGGGAGTGTTGTAAATAAGTGGATGACAACATTTTCTACCCTAATGTCAAATGTGTAAGAGTTATTTTCAACTCCTATAACAAATATGTCAAATATGTGTAAGAACTTATTAATTATGTCTAGTGATTTAACTAGTATAAATAGCACCATTACATATGTAAAAGATACACCAATTTGAATACTTTATATAAGTTATCAAATTCTCTCCAAATCTCCATTCTTCTTTCTTAAGGTTATTAGTTTAGTTTTATTAATCTTGTTTTAATTACGTCAAATTTACAACAAAGGATTTATTATATCGTGATGGATTTGTTGCTAATGAATAATGATTATGTGCTAGCCAAGTCAAAGTGGTTTTTGACTTTTAATAAGAGTGTTGCTAAATTGATATTTCACGAACATCGTTTATCAAAAATCAATCTATAATTAGTTACATAAAACTATTTTTTTCCGTAAAATAATGCAATTTGAATCAATAAAATATGGTAATTTCATACGTACCCACAAATTGTTTTGTATATCTTTTGCGAGTGAAATAGTACTATATGTATATCCTCATTATTTGACCATTTATGTTTATAGTAGCATCCTAAAATAATTGAATAACTTAATTAAATAGCGTGTCTATATGGTAAAATGAGATTTAAAAATGATTTTCAGCTTAGTTTTGAGCGTGAATAACAACATCCTAGCTCGACTCCACTTTTGAGTGGAAGGTAGATATGGGAAAAAAACATCATTTTTTTATTTACATACCATCTAATTTGTAGTAATTAGGGGTTTTTGGATAGGGAAAGAAGTGGATGCTTATTGCTTATTGCTTATTGCTTATTTCCACCACAATAAGTTGAATTTAAGTGTTTGGATATGAATCTTTAAAAATCAGCTTATTGTGGTAGGAATAAGCTAAATAAGCTGATTTTAATAAGCAGGGGGGGGGGGGGGGGGGGGGGGGGGGGGGGGGGGGGGGGGTTTATTGCTTAATTTTAGTGATTTGAGAATTTACCTAATCACCCTTTTAAAAAACGATACATAAACCCATAAACCCTTTTGTCGATCAATTGCTTCACAATTCTGCTGCCTTTCGCTATTCCTTCTTCTCGACGTGCCATCGACGACCTGCAAGCCATCGACGATCAGGTTTGCGGTTTCTTCCTTTTTCGTCTGGTATACATCGACGACTTGGAACTGTGTTTGTGTTTCTTTTTTTTTCCGTCATGCATAAACCGACCAGGAAGGCATGGATGCTTCTTTTTTCTTCATCCTTGATTGCTGTTGTTATTTGTTGCTATTGATGCATCTAGCTGTAATATTGTTGCTTTTTTTTTCTTTTTTTTTGCTCCTACGTGCTACACCCCTGTGATGGTGTTTCTTCATCCTTGATCATAAAGTGCCCCTGTGATGCTTTTTTTTCTTCATCCTTTATTCTTGTTGTTATTTGCTCCTATTGATGGTAGTGATTCTTGTTTGCATTTACAAATTCCTTTGCCTCTTTTGATTCAACATTAGGGTGAAAATTCAGAATTTTCTTCATTCATTATCAATGATTTAATATAGGTAGTGGACACTGTCAATGTTCATGATGTGGGTATTGATACACCCAAACTGAAAGTTACAAATAGATTTAATTGGGATCCTCATACATTCAAGATGTTTCTTGAGGAATGTATGAACGAGCTAAAAAACGGGAATAGACCAAGTACTTATTTCTCTAAGCCCGCAATATATGTAAGAGGCTTTTGGAACGAATGGGTAAAGATTTGGACAGAAATCAAATGAAAAACAAATGGGACATTATGCGGAAAGAGTTCAAATATTATGACCGTTTAACAAGACTAGAAACGGGAATTTCAATTGATCCCGTGAGAAATATAATCTCAGCATCAAAGGAATGGTGGGATGAGAAAATAAAGGTAATAATTATAAATTTTCTCTACCAATTTATTATTTGTATTGTGTTTTTCGTGACATTCTCATTTTGTACATATAGGAAGATAAAGAGTATGCTAAGCTTAAGGATAAGAATTTGGATGTATATCAGACATATTACGAGGCTTTATTTCGGGGTACCGTAGTTGTTGGAGACAAGGCTAAGTTATCTTGCGAATTTGGCGACAGTAGCACTCCAAATGATGTACAGTTTGTGGATATTACAGATGGAAAAGAAGCTACTGACGAAGTCCGCTTATTTGATGATGTTGATCCTTTTCTCACATATGATAGTTCTAGTAAGAAAAGGAGGGGAAAGAAGTTAACTCCCAGGCGTGACAACAAAAGAAAATTTGAAGGAAAAAGTATGGCAAACTCGTCATATGAAGAGAAACTGGACACTGTTTTTAATGTTTTGTTAACAAGGAGCACTTAGCTCTCAAGACAAACCACACACTCACCGACAACAGAAGATTGCATGGCAATTGTGTCTACTTTCCTGGGTTTTGAAGAAGGCTCAATAGGATATTTAGAAGCGTTAGAGGTCTTTTTAAAGAAGCCAGCTCGTCAGAATTTTATGGTTCCAAAGACTAATGAAACAAAATGGAGTTTCTCAATAGGCTTATAGAGAAAGAGAAGTAGTTGAAGACATACTCTATTTTTATGTCATGTGTTAGTTTCATGTTTGTTTTGTGGTCAATTTTGCCATTGCCCCATGATTTTGCTTTTGTTTCCTTTTCCATGATTTTATCTATTAGGTTGACTTTAAACGGTTGTCATGTGTTAGACTTATCCTTTTATCTATTATGTTGACTTGAAATGGTTGTTTTGTGTTTGTTTTAATGCAAATCCATTTCATTTTATTTTGTGGTCAATTTTGCCCTTGCCTCATGATTTTGCTCTTGTTTTCTTTTCCATGATTTTGCCATGATTTTATCTAGTATGTGGTAAATTCCCATCTTACCCTTGTTTCCTTTTTCCTTTAGTAACAGGTTATCTTCATGGCCAGTAACTATGAAAGTGAAGACTCATATGACAGTGATGACTCATATGATGAAATTGAAGAAAATGAAGAGATTCAAACACTTCTTTTATGTGGGCTTGCTGTCAAAGGGTTACTATTGACTCAAAAATCGAAATACGTATGTAGAAGTCGCCGTTCATCTTCGCGCACAGGAAGCATGCTTATCAATGAAATATTTAACGATCATGAGAGCCGATGTTATGAACTTTTCAGATTACAAGTCCCGGTTTTCAACATGTTATGTAGGGATCTTGTTGCACATTACGGGTTAAAGAAATCACGTCGTGTATCTATTCAAGAGTCCCTTGGTATTTTTTTTTTGTTGTACTTAGCGCATGGATGTGGAAATCGGTTAGTTCAAGAGTTCTTTAACCATTATGGGGAAACAATCCATAGGCATTGTCATAAAGTCTTGGATGTTGTGGTTAACCTAAGTAAGGACATCATCAAACCAAATGCTAACTACAACGAAACTATACAAGAACATATTTTTAAATAACCCTCGGTATTATCCATACTTCAAGGTACTTATTTTGTTGCAAAGTTATGTTATTTGGTGAATTTGTGTAATTGTAAAAATAATTGGTAACTTATTATATTTTTTGAATTTGTAGGATTGTATTTGTGTTATCGATGGAACACACGTGAAGGCCTCTGTTCCGCAACGTGACCAAATCAAATACATTGGACGAAAGAAATGTGTTACTCAAAATATTATGGCAGCATGTGATTTCAACATGTGCTTTACCTTTGCGTGGGCTGGATGGGAGGGGAGCGCACATGACACGAGAATTTTCAATGAAGCGCGAAGGAGACGTGAAGTTAAGTTTTCACTTCCAGCCGATGGTTAGTATTATTACTTATTAATAGAAGTTTTATATTTTCAAACGGTATAAATGAATAACAATCATATGCTTTATTTGTACCTCTATAGGTAAGTTTTACATTGTAGATGCCGGATATCCAAATACAAAAGGTTATCTTGTTCCCTACAAATGTTCAAACATCCGTTATCATATTCCTGATTCTCGACGTGGACAGACTCGTGCCACGCGGGAACCAAAAGGCTTCAAAGAAAAATTTAACTATTATCATTCGTCACTTCGCAGTGTAATTGAACGAAATTTTGGAGTCTGGAAGGCTCGATGGGTATTACTAAGAGATATGCATGTAAATTTCACTACCACTACAAGATAAATGACTTAAAGTCACACCAAAAAAGTGTGACCATATGCATATAGGGAGATTTTATTTTTTCACTGAAAGTGTGACGGAAGGTGACGCCATCCTATGCGTCTTATGGTCACTTTAAAATGTAGTGTCCGTATGAGATGAAAACATGTGGTCGTATTATAAAAGTGTGGCAAATTTGTACGGAAATTTTTTTCATACATATCCAATATTGTAGCGTTAAACCGTCAATAGACACATTTATTTAGTAACTGTGGTGACTGTCTATCACCAACTTGCGACATTCATGATGTTTTAGTGTAGTTGTTTTCTTTTATATTGTCACACGGTTTAAATTTTGTTAAGACTATTGTGTATCTTTTGTAAACATGTAATTACGGTGAGCATGACCATGTTTGGTAAATGGACACATATAATTAATTCCATAAGTGACGAATTGCTAATAATTAGTCACAAAAAACAATCAAATTTTGTGACTATAGCCTATCGTACAGAGACACACAATTAAGTGAAATACAATCATAAGTATTATAAAGACACACATTTTGTTAAAATTAAGGACTATTCGGTATCGTAATAAGACTATTGGGTATATTTTAGATACATATTGTAACACCCAAAATTTCAAGCAAATTTAAACTTTTAAAAACACGTCAAATTCGTCAAACATTACATCTTTGTTTTCAAAATATTATTTATCAGAGTATATCCCAGAAACATAAACATAAAGTGAGGAGTTGTACGATCATGCCTTCGCCTTGCCGCGATCCCCTGATGTACCTGAAACAATAAACTGAAACTGTAAGCCCGAGATCTTTGTGAGTTACCCCCCAACATACCGATACACATACAGTCCATATAACCACATCAGTAATAACATATCATAACAACTGAAACAGCATGCAATGGGTCCACAGCTTTACAAGCTGGATTACCCCTGGGCCCTCAGTACAAGTCTGGAATGCCTACCGGTCCCTCGGCTCGTATCTGGAATGCTCCCGAGTCCTCAGTATGAGTCTGGAATGCCTACCGGGCCCTCAGCTCATATCTGGAATACTCTCGGGTTTGTTGGTTACCGCACGGAGCAGTATCACCTCAACCCCATCCCACATAGCATATCCATATACAACATAACTACTGAGCATACAGATATTCATATAGCAACACAGGTAGTCCTACAAATCTACCTAACTGGCATAACCACTATCCTGCAACACTAACTGATACTCAACATAACCACTGCTAGGATAACATATCCAATGGGCCGGCCTTGGTGCCTTAGACCCCTTAATATAGTGAGGATAACTCACCTCGCAACTGTCGTCTGAAACCAGAAAGCTCAACTCCCGGATTACCAACACGAACTCCACCACCTATAGTTACCATAAAACCCTTGTTCATAAATCTCCTAATTACCATAATACCCTTAGAAGTCAACTGGTCAACCCCTGGTCTAAGTCAAAGTCCACAGTCAAAGTCAACAGTCCATGTTGACTCGACTTGTCGAGTGCAGTTCACCGACTCGTCGAGTCCTTCCTGAACTCGAGAAGTTGTGAAATCCTTGATTGGCTCGTCGAGTTCCCTTTTAACTCGCCGAGTTCATATGTGTCCAAGAATTGGGAGAAACCCTAGCCGACTCGCCGAGTCTTCGAACGACTCGCCGAGTTCAAGGCAATCTTCAACGGACTCGCCGAGTTGTTCATCAACTCGTCGAGTTCATGGCCATCTTCAACGGACTCGCCGAGTTGTTCATCCAACTCGCCGAGTCCTTGCAGACCTTTATCCATGCAGACGCTTTTTAAGCCATGGCAAGGTTCCAGATTACAGATCCAAGCTTCTAAGGCATGTTTATCACGTAAAGTTGCAAACTTTACGCACATGCAAGGCTCTAAAGGCCATAAATGACCAATCTAAGCTTCTAATGGAGCTTTACACCTTGGGAGAGTCTCATCCTTGCACAAGCTGGAACTTTATGGACTCAGAAGCCCAAGGGAGCTCAGTTCTGAAGTTACAACTTCAGATCTTAGCTTGCACACAAGAATTGTTGGGTTTTGAGCATTCTAATACTCCTATGGTGTACATGCAACCCTATAAACCTTGGATCTATGTTTTCTCTATTATACATGCAAATAATCAATATTCCACGGTTTCATCCTAACTAGCATATTATGAAGCAACCATACTACAAAGTTCTGGTTAGATGACATACCTTTGATGTTGCTTGAAGTCTTGAACTTTAAGAGCTTAGCCCCAATAGTGTGGAAGCCTCAAGTGGAATCACAAATCACCAAACACCTTGGAAGAACTTGAGAGAATATGTATGCTCACTAAAATCGGCCCACACTTTTTTTCACACACTTGTGCCAATTTTGTGAGCTAAGGACCCCTTTATATATTATGGAGGATTAGGGTTACATCCATGTAAACCCTAATACCCATGACCTTTCATTTACATAGGATCCATGGTTTAAAAGCTCCATGGACCATCCATGAAAGCTTAGCCCAACCTAAATGCACTTGGCCCATTCCATATATATAAGAGTCCATATTTAATTAGTTCTTTTTTATCACTTAATTAATTCTAAATTAATTCTTGATCAATACTAATTAAATAATATGATTCCATATTGATATATTAGAACTCATAATATATTATATAAATCATAAATATACTATTCTCAAAAGACTATCCATTAAATTGTGCCGGTGAAGTGCAACCCAAATGGACCATGCCGGGTGGTCAAGTACATACCAAATATAGTTATGGACTTAGACATTAATCCAACAGTCTCCCACTTGGATAAGTCTAAAACTATTATTGAGTATGACTTCAAAACCTAACTGGCAATCATAGCTCTTAAAGCCGCTGTCGAACTCTGACCTTGTCAATGAGTTGTCCATTAGATAAGGGATCATATATTCCTCCATTCTAGATATCATATGGACTGAGACATGGATTATAATCATTCTCTCTGTCCATTTGTTGTTTCCCGATTTTCCATTTATGATGACTGACTGATTGAACAAATCAAATCAGTCCTAGCTTGGCCAAGCACTCACATGTGTCATCGCTAAATCATTGAGGGGCCCACAGATATCGCTTTTATCCCGAAGGCAAAAGGAATGGATAAACTTCGACTCATATGGCTTGTTCTACTACTTGTTGAATCATACACAAAGGCACGTTTTATAACATCGAGTTACCAATGCGTTTTCGTGCAATCAATGTATAACCAAACTCATAGTAACAATCTCATATCTCTAGGTTTTAAGAATATAAGATATTATCGTCTCATGATCACTCGTGATAAAATCCATGAAGTGATTCAAATGCGCGTGGGTTGAATCCAATACTCAGAACTTATGAGCACTCATGAGTGTTGTAGCACCACTTTGTCCACCAATTTGGACCTCTACAAAACCAACCATGACAGTCTTGATTCATATCTACTTCCAACATATGACCGACTGTGGATGGTTTGAATAACTTAATCATTCAGGAAGAGTGACTTAGTTATTCTGGAAGTCAAAACATGCAAAGTGAAACACAAGAATAAATGAATCAAATATGTATCAAACCCTATGAATATAAATAAACATTTTTATTTATCACCATACTGATTACTCATTTCCATTGTTTCCGTTTTATCAACTTTATACTTGAATTAAAAACACTAGTTGTCCCATGCTCCAAGCATGTACACTATGTTTTTCTTAAACAATAGCTTTGCCATACACCAAGTATGCACTCTATGTTTGTCTATGATCCTTACTTTGTGAAATAAACAATTGAACATATTTCAATGATTCTAATTTCACACTCCCAATATCCTTATCGAAAAATGTGAGAATTTCAAATTCCTATCATTTATCGAAATCTGTTTAGATTTTAAACTTATATGCACTGACCCTCCTGTAATGAATATGTACAAAGTCAAAGACTTGTCAACAGTCATTATAAGGTATTCCAATGGAGATCAACTCCATGGAAACTAAGTCTCATATTCAAAGTACATTGCTTTGGAATGCTTCTTGCATTAAGTTTCTAATCTTACACATATAACTTCCACCTATGGAGACAACTCCATATTCTCATTTTGACTATCACTTCTGAATAAGAGATGCCTCTTTTCAGAATATGTCAATATGGTCCTTCCAAAATTAGCACTATACTTCCAACTGTCCCTGAGCAACCAATCTTTGGTAAACCTCAGATTGTCCTCGACAATTGCTTAATCATTTTAGTCATATCCAATTCTAGACCTTTTCCCTTCTTAATGCCTCTGGAATTTGGAAAACTTTAGAAATGACAAATATTATAGCACATGCAATCGATCCTGTACCCAAGCAATGGGTACACAATTCATGATGTCTCACATAAAGACATGATTCTAGACTAGTCTTTTGCTACAATATTTTTATTTGCCATGTTTTCAAAATTTGACTATGAAGAGGGATGTCGTAATCATAATCGAATTTTGAGAACGCAATATATAGAATTTCCTTAAGTTGAACCAATCCAACATGAAACTCATATATATATATTATATATATATATATATATATATATTCTTGACTAAAGATGATAAGGTCTCAATCTAAGCCTTTAGAACTGAAATGAAGTATATCCTCTCCCTTAATTATAGCAAAACAACTTTTCAATCCCTGCAGCCTCACGAATTGAAACTTTTGTTTTCTATAATTAACATTGCTAACTTGCAACACTAACAATAATTATCATGCTCCCACTAACATGATGATTATTATCATAACACTTATGCTCCCACTAGCTTTGACATGTACTCAGAAATCAGTTGGACTTCTAGAAATCAATACTTTATTGACTTTCTTACCAAATCAGATTTCTGATACGAGATGCTTTGATAAAATTTTATCAAAATCATACACCTTTCCTTAGATAGCATGCATGTGTGTCTAAACAATTTTAGAACTATGAAAAGGGATGCCGTAATCATAGTCTCAATTGTTAGACCTTTTGCCATCTG